TACACTGGCTTCTTTCCAGAGCTGCTTTATATTTATTGATTTAGTGTCTGCTAATAGCTTTGGTCTAAATTAGTGAGCTTTTTCTAATGTGTCTTATCATATATGTACTTCTTTTTAGTATGTTTTTATATCAACTAGTTGATTGCTTTTGCTTCTGTAAATATTAGTGATCCAACAGTTTATAGATATTTATTTTAACATTTTAAGGAAAAGATTAAAGAAAGGTACATAAGAATAATTTGTTTTGTAGTAAAAATGCTATTTGAATGTATAATTGTTTCTAAGCAGCACATCCACTTATGACTTGATGATTCTCAGTTCTTTGTATGGAAGTCTAAAAAATCTCATGGAAAGTAATCACCGAGGGAGCCCATATCAGCACATAAAAATAATATAAACATTTTTATATAAGTAAACCAGAGCATATTCCTTCTTTATTCCAAGTGCTGAATTTATGTAGTTCTTCTTAAGAGTAATAACTGTAGAAGTGATAATGTAAAAGTAAATCTGTCATGTTGATTTCTGCTCACGAAGAGTAAGTGTAATATTTTAATTCAGGCAGAGGGCAAGGGAGGAAGGCACCTTAGGGTGCCTGTAGATGTGTGGGGAGGCCGGTCCAATGCACTGTAATTAAAGTGTGTCGAAGCAGACTCAATTCATCGAGCCTGCTGGAGCCAGCCTCTGCATCTCATGTATCAGTGTCCCTGCACTTTAAAATTTTTAACTCAATGAGCTTTAGTTAAAGAGCCCCCGCTGCCATTTTGAGTCATGGGGACCCTGATACATGAGATGCTGTGGGCACTTTAATTAGATATCTAATGAGCTTTAGTTAAAATGCCCCTGCCACCATTTTGAAGTGCAGGGAGAATGATACACAAGACTCTGTGGGCGCTCTTGGAGTTTCTCTAATTAAAGCATCTCCCCCTACTCTGGGAGCATGTGTAAAAATACCCTTAGAGTCTAACTCATTCAGAAAGGCATAAGCTTTTGTAGGCAACACCTTTCATCAGATGCTGCATGTGCTGTTTTTTTATCCATAATGTTTTTCTAACAGAGGATGGTGAAAAGGTTTCCTTGTGGTCTTCAGGTATCAATGAAGGTCTGGGTCCCATATGATATCTACATAAAAAAGTGTAAAAACCAATATCTGAAGAAGGAAGTTTGTAAGCTAGAATGGAATATGACCTGTTCTTTCCAGGGAGTTAGGTTTTGACATATCGATGAAATTATGATGAGGGAACAGATAGATAAACGAGTATCAGACAAAGATATATATTAGAATCCAAAAATATAGTTAGGTTTGCTGACTGATTTAGCAAAAAGATCACTACATAAGGTGGACACAGAATGTGTCCATTTTCTGTTATCTCACAGAATGAGTTTTGATTTATACCAGTTTTGATTGGAGATTTATGAGGCCCAACTCCAGTCCGATGACCATGCTGAAGTGTGGTCATGACATTCATTCATTAATAAGAAGCACGATCATGACATTCATAATCCTTATGACTCTCATCATGGTAAGTCCCATGCCAATCCTGTAAAAAGGGAAAATATAGAATTATATAGATATAAAAGTTGATGTCTTCTTATTCATATAATGGCTTGATTTTCATAGTTATCAAATTTTTGTTGTTTATTTTTATTAGCTATCTAATGAGCTTTAGTTAAAATGCTCCTGCCACTATTTTAAAGTGCAGGGAGGCTGATACACAAGACTCATGTCTCTGGAAATGGCTAAATTGCTCCAAATTAATCATGTTTAGATAAGAATCTGAATTTGAATCCGCACACAACACATCTTCAAGGTTGCAAACTGATTTAGATGACCAAGTGCAAAAGAGTGAAAATTCATGATTGTATTTTTCAAAATATCTCACATAATAAAATAATTAAAATATAGTTAATTGTTTTTCTCATATGTATATGCTATTTATAATATAAAATGAGCAAACCAAACAAACATTGCACCTCACATTTAAGTCACTTTTTCATCTCTAGTTATATATTTATAGGTTTGTATGTGTAGATTACATGATGCTCTGCGTGTATTTATATGCACAAAATGCCCACCATGCATCAGACCATCCAAATAACACAAATACATCCTTTGGAAACAAACATAAACAAATACAACTATGAAGGAAAAATAAGTAGCTCATAAATAAAATGTCAGCTGACATGAAATAAATGGTTTTCTTCAGAGAAATAACTATAGCTGGACTGCTGCCATATGTTCTGTAATGAAAACATTGTGTTCCGATATTTATGTCATTTTAATGCAGAGAAGATTGATGGAACTAATTCATTTAATTTCTCTACCAATTCACCTTTTGTGCCATAACCACTTCATTATAATGCCCATTCCCACAAGTTTCAGATCAATGAATAGAAACAAATCTACTTTTCTAATGCAAAGTCATAGGATGTATTTATTAGCATCAGAAGGTTTGAATTTATTTTAAAACTTACGTAAATAGCAGTATTGCTTATTAGTTGTTGCTGAGGCCCCTGGCAAGCATTAAAACACTAAAAAGCTATTTGGATCAGAGGAATTTTATGTCCTATCCCAAACATTGCACCTCCTGCCATAAATTTTGGGACAAAAGATTCCTTCAATCTCAATCATGCCAATGTTGAACTGCCTCTCAGCCCAATCCTGCAGACTGGGCAGGGGACATCTCTGTCTTGGGCTCAGGACTGTTCTCAGCCTCTCACAGGTTTCAGACCTGGGGCTGTCAGGGCTGAGTCTGACAGTCAGCTATTGTCAGTCCCACCCACGGACAGCCTAGCTGTATGCATGGCTTTTAGGAGTCCCGGGACATTGGGGCCCCAGGACTAGGGAACCTCTCCTCCATCACAGGATTCCTGTGGTCTAAAGAACACGTGTTTGGTCCTGCTCCCCCAAACCCAGCATTTTTAAGTGCCTTGCAAGGCAGGAAAGCACCAGGATTGGAGGTACCAGGTTCTAAGAGGCCAGAGTTCCTCAGCTTCCCCTACACCCCACTCTCCTTGCAGCTGATTTTTGGCATCAGAACCCTGGGCTGTTTCTGAAATAGTTACAAATTTCATAAACTATTTATACAACAGGAAGCATGATTGTGGGATAGCGCATTAGATCCCATCAAGCCTTACTGCCAGCACAGGAATTGTCCAAGTTCATGATACCAGGCTCCCTCTACACCAGCAAGTAGCAAGCTCCCATAGCTGGAAGCCCCCTGAGCTGACAGATGGGAGCCTGCAGTTTATCTGGATTCCCAGCCACACACCATATGCCCCCAGATCAGATGTGGGCTCATGTAATCCCACAGCTAGGAGCCCCATCAGCTGTGGGCTCCCACGCTCGAGGGCACATCTGGTCACACATTCAATTAATGGCATGATAGGAATGAGCCACAAAGTTATTACACATTTTTTGTGGAATAGCTTTGTGGCTTATTCCTCACTTTATCACGTGATTGAGCATGTGGCTGTGTTACAGATTAAGATGTGGTTAACCGGTTAATAACACCTTAAGTGGAACATGCGTGTGTATGAGTAAAGAATGGTAAGAGGGAATTATAATACTTTATTTTCTTGCCTATCACCGGCCCCCAAATAACACACATGCCTAGTTTTTTGGGAAGGCAGAATGAAATAAAAAAGGATTTTTTTAGAGTCGTTAGAGTTTTGGACACATTTTTCAGCAACCAACCTTTTCTCCTTCTTCTGACTACTCCTGCCTTCCAGTTCTACTTGGTTACAGGGAGCTATATGTGACCCTGCCCTGGGAAGCTTCAAGTTCCACACTAGTTAATTTGTTGCTTTTGTTGCTTGGTTAGAACCCACCTGAACTCCAATCTGGGAAAACTGGAGCTCTAGCCAGTTTATTTTCCTAGAGTGCCCTTATCTGAATGGAAGATTATCTAGTGATAGCTCTTGATTGTTCTCCATTGTTAATGCTATGCTAGTGGGCAAATATGCTACCTGTACCAGTCGAATGGGAATTAAAAGGCAAAAGTGAAGAAATTTACAATCCAAATGACATTCATAAATCAAAAAAGAGTGGTAGACTGGTATGAACATAAGAAGCATATACCAGTCCATCACAATAAACTTGAAAATATTTGGGATTTTATTGCAAGTCTTACCATGTTTGTTGTTTATTATTCTTAAACCCAGTTCCTGGAGTTGTGTGATTATTTAAGCATATCAGAAAAGTAAATCTGTGGGCCTTATCATTGCCAAACATAAATAAATAAATAAATAAATATACCCTGAACCCTGAAGGCTGAAAAAGCAAGAGAGTAATTTAAAAGAACCTAACAGGTTTTTAAAATGTTATTATTTTTAAACCAATCTCATGTTATGTTGGAGCCTGTCTCATTATTTTTGAACATTTAAAGTTAACAATACTGCACTTTAATCCATAAACTTATTTCCTGTAAGGAATTGTTCTGCTTATATAGCAATTAAGGAATCAAATGTGATCTCTTATATGCTATTTGAAAAGACTAGTTTAGTGCTATTGAAAAAAACCTGCAGAAGGAATTGGTCTTGCCTTTGGCGACTGAGAGCCCAACCCTGAAAAGTGCCAAGTATCCTCAACTCGCTTTGAAATTAGTGAGCCCGAAGTTAGCCAATGTTAGTTAAAATGGATGGTGTTCAGCACATCAGAAAGCTGAGCCCTTAGTTGCTAAGGTATACCTTAAAGATTTAACAAAAATATTTTGGGGAATCCATTCAGACATTCAAGAATCCACATTTGTATTTTCAAATCAGTGCATATGTTTATATTGCTAGTGAGCTTGAGATCCATTAAGAACCTGAGCCTCGATATCATAAAATTAGCATAGAAACGTGCATGTGGTAGCATGTATAAAGATGAGAAGTTAAGGTGAATAAGAACAGTGAGGGAAAGCACATCTTTGTCCATCTTTGTGGTTTGGAAAGTAAACTTCTACACTTTGCAGTCAGTTAAGATTATTCATCCACTGCTGTTTTATTTTTTTCACATCCAGGAATTGAATACAACAAGCTGCAGTGGTCCTACACTGAGAGGAGACATAATTTTATACCATGCAAGCACCTTTTGCAACAAGCTGACCTCTGTGGATATAAGCTGGACAGGAGCCACTGATTTAGGAATCATTGCTCTGGCAGAAGCTTCTGTAAGGTAAACATTTAAAGAAGATTTTAGAGTAAAGAAGATGTGTTTCTTTTCAAGAAAAGAAAAGAAATGCTTATTCAGTCTCACGTGGTTAAGCTATACAAATATGTTTCATGCCTGGATCCATTTATTGGCACAAAACAAATTATAAAATTAATTCTATTTATCAGGTTTGATTCCAGCGACCAACCTCTGTTCAATGTGTAAGTAGGGAAGAGGAATAGGGCTGGAGAGTGACTTCCAGTTTCAGCTCCCTGGTTCTTGGGTTCAGCCACACCCCGGTGAGAATTAGAGTTTCTTCCTAGCAACTCTAAATTGTGCTACTGATCATGGGAACATAGCTGTAACAGAACCTAGCTCAGTCAGTTTGCTTCCTGTCCCCATCATTTTCCCTCCTGGTATTTATATTGGAGGATGGAGGCAGTATGTACAGAGATTCTCCCAGAAATTAGGGATGTGGACCACCAAGCAGTTCCTCTTAGATAGAAATGTTGTGTTAAATGCTTGCTGTAGACTCTTCCTCTGCATTAAGAAGGGTGTTTGTACCCAAAAGCTTACAAAGAACAATTTTTTCCAACTATTTAGTTGGTCTTATAAAAGATACCACACTTACCCAAAGAACCTTGTCTGCCTGCATCCATTTTCTAGCTTTTTTATACCTCGAAGTGACAGGAAGGAAATAAAGCAAATGAATCTATGGTTTAACTCATTTCACAGCAGTAGATGCCAAGGATGACTTTTTTAAAGTGTGGAGAAATAACCAGTATTTTACATGTTTCAGCCTCCAGAGCCTTTCTGCAAATGGATGCCAAATTACAGATGATGCTGTAAATGCCTTGATTGAAAAACATGGGAAAAGGTAATTTGCATTCAAGCAATGATCAGTTTGGGGTGCTTATACCATGAGATTCTTTTGGCCTGATAATGGTTAACAGTTGTTTATTTTTTACTACCTGCCCTGGTGTTACAGAATTTATCTTCATTTAAAGAGGGTGAAACATTATAACTAACTATCCCAGTAGAGATATACTAGATATCTCCCTAGGTGAGGCTCAGGTTATACTGGGCATATTTCTTTTGTTTGTATAATTAATTTAAACCCATTCCCCAAAACAGAGTAAGACACAGTAACAAAATACTCCTTTCCCAGTTAACTCTTTATACATTAAAGTATCTATAGATAGATCATTGATTCTTAACTGGGATGCTGCAGTGCTGTAGGGTGCCTTGAATCCTTTCAAAGGTATTGTGGGATGCCTCACAATATTAGCAGTGCTAGGTGTGCAAATATGACTCTCAAAACAAACCCAGATATTTCAAATAGGAACTTGTAATGTTAAAAACATTCTGACCTGCTGTGGTCTTTCTGGCTAAGAACAGACAATCAAAAAGCCCAAGGCTGAATTGATTCAATTATCGCAGGTTAATCTCAGCTGCATAGATTGAACCGATGAGCAAGTGAATAGACATTCACTTGTGATTCCAGAAATGCAGCCACATGCCTGCAGTGCCCCTGGCCAGAAGCCAGGGGGTGCTAGAGCACACCTCTCTGTTCCACTGGAGCAGACAGCTTTGGCCAAGGCTAGCCTGCCCATTGCGTGAGGTGGGGTTTGTGGGGGAGTGCAAAGCATCCTGGGATGCTGGGGGACTGTGAGTTAACTTGAATCTGGAAGGGATCTGGGACAGAAGTTTAATAAACTGATTTAACCTAAATCAATAAAGTCTGATCCTGCATCTATCCAGGTTTATCTTAATTCAGTTTTGGCCACTTTGAAAGTGGTATATCATAGAATCATAGAAGTAGGGTCGGAAGGGACCTTGTAGATCTTCAAGTCTGACCACCTGCCTGGGCAGGAGGAAAACTGGCTCAAATGACTCCAGCCAGGTAGGCATCGAGCCGCTTCTTAAAGACCCCCAGGGTAGGAGCCAGCACCACTTCCCTTGGAAGTTAGTTCCAGATCCTAGCCGCCCTAACTGTGAAGTAGTTCTTACGGATGTCTAATCTAAACCTACTTTCCAACAACTTGTGGCCGTTATTCCTTGTTATCCCAGGGGGGTGCTAGTTGAATCAAGGTCCCCCCTAGTGAGTTTATAAATGGCCACAAGGTCCCCCCTCAGCCTTCTCTTGTGAAGGCTGAACAGGTTCAGGTCCAGTAGCCTCTCATTGTAGGGTCTGCGCTGCTGTCCCCGGATCATGCGGGTGGCCCTCCTCCGGACCCTCTCAATGTTGTCCACATCCCTCTTGAAGTGGGGTGCCCAGAACTGGACACAGTACTCCAGCTTCATCTTGGAGTCAATGATGACTCCAAGATCCCTTTCTGCCTCCATGCTCTCAAGAAGGGAGTTTCCCATCTTATAAGTGTGCTGCCGGTTACTACTGCCTAAGTGCAGCACCCTGCACTTGTCCGTATTGAAATGCATCCTGTTTTTGTTAGCTCACCCTTGCAACCTATCCAGGTCTTTCTGCAGTCTTTTCCTCCCTACTAGCGTACCCACCTCACCCCAAATTTTGGTATCATCAGCAAATTTGAACAAGTTGCTTTTCACCCCATCGTCCAAATCGCTGATAAAGAAATTAAACAGTGCGGGCCCAGGGACCGAGCCCTGGGGGACTCCGCTGCCCACTTCCCCCCAGGTTGAATATGACCCGTCCACCACCACCCTCTGAGTATGACCCTTCAGGCAATTAGCAATCCATTTGACTGTGTAGGCATCGATGCCACAGTCGCCTAGTTTTTTAATGAGGATGGGGTGGTCGACAGTGTCAAAGGTCTTGCTGAAGTCCAGAAAGACTACATCCACAGCGGCACCTGCATCCAATGCTTTTGTGACCTGATTGTAAAAGGCAATCAGGTTGGTCTGACATGACCTGCCCTTACTGAAACCGTATATGTGCATTGAACTTCTGTTGTGTTACAGATTTGAATCAGGTTCTGATCACGTATACCAGTTTATATTGAATTTCTGTCCCTTTGCTCAGGCAGGTTACTTTACTATTTTTCTGTAGTCAGAAACTAGTGAAAACTAAGAGCTGGCATTTTCTGAGGGGTGTCTTAAATCTTAAAAGGTTGAGAACCACTGCCATATATGCTTTGGGTAGAAGTGCCATGTCACTTAACTGATATAGCAATGCCAGCAAGTGTAGACCAATCCACAAGATTGCCAATAAGTGGTAGGTCACATGAGATAAATCAGTGTTGCAGAAGTTTAATCCCCCTAGTATGTACTCACTCCAGTAGCTTATTTTTCTCCTTTGTATTGCTGACTATGCTCACTGCTAAACAGCTAACATGGATCTTTCACTCTGACTATATTATATATGTTTAAATCACATGGACACAGGAAAGAGGTGGAAAGACTGAATTGCTTTGTTCCTTGTTTTGTACAATTTGAGTTTTTGATACCCAGGAAAGCAACCTTAATTCAAAACTAATTACATTTTTTTAGTGAAGGAATATGCATTAAGTACCGCAGTTAAGGCCTTAGATAACAACAGGTCAAATTCTGTGGAATAAGAAGAGGTAGGAAGATAGGAAGAGAAAGACTTAAGTGTAACAGTAAAAATGAAGTTTGGACAAGTAAAACCACTTCCTAAAAGAATGAGATGTTTTCAGGTATTTTTTATTAATAACTTTCTGAATGCTGCTATTTTGTTAAAAAAGGAGATATTGGGTATAGACTATGCATCTGTTTGAAAGTCACGCTGGGGCAATGCAAACAAGAAGGGTTTCTTTTACATTAGATATTTTGGCAGTAAGGTATAACAACACAGGTGTCACCAAGTGATAAAAGCAAGCATTGGCTGTGGAGCAGCCAAACAATAAATAAAATAGACCAGGGATATGAATTGTAATATTTTTCCTGTCAAGACAAAGTATCCTACTCAGATAGTCTCACTTGCTTGTCATTGACCTCCTGTTTAATACATAGAATTATAGAACATGTAAATCTGGCTTTATTGTATTTCTGACATTCCATTTGTTATTGCTAACAAGCATGACGCAGAAGATGGTTAGGCCTAGCCAGATGAGACCTACTATTTTTTGTTGTTTCCAATCTGTGGGTAGTTCTAATTCTTCACATATGTTGCTCATGGAAAAAATGAAAATATCATGATGAATAAAGTCAGGGGGGAAGGAGATGTTTATGTAGGTTTCTGCTTAAATGTATTGAAGCTGAATTTTAGAGAGAAATTTAATTTAACCGGTCAGGAGGCAGGCAATCTAATAATTCAGGCAGCCATTCAATCTTATTCTTTGTGTTTCGTCAAGGAGTTGAATTCTCTGCTGTGCTGAGCAAGGGACCATTTTTTCAGTTTGTTGGGTGGAAAACTAGGAGATTCTCCTTCGTCTACATTCTTCACCCTAACTTTGAGCTGGCTGACTCTTAAAAATGACCTTGGCATAGTTTAGAGCAGTCCCATGGCAGCCAACAAGATCAGTGGCTGATAGAATGCAGTGTGCAAAGTTGCTAGATCTAGGATCCAAAATTGTGTTCTAACTAGAGTATGAATTTGTATAAAGAAAATAATTAGCAAGTCAACTGGTTTCTGTGTTCTACTTACATGCTAAGCTGAGTCTTTAAAGTCAGCCCTAAGTTTGGGATGAGGCAACAATGAATGCTGAAGAAATTATGATTCAGAGGTGATTCATCCTTGATGACCATCCTGTATGTGTTGGGAGGGATTAATTTACTTCACACAGGTTGGAGGTGTGGTGAACTCTTGATTGTGCATTGATGGCTAGAATGAAGGGGTAGAGTCATGTCTTCTCCATTTGCTGCACTCTTGTGCACTGGAGACATTGGATAACAGCAGAATCCAGCAGAGGAGGGAAAATAAGTAAAGATTAGAGACTTAGGAAGCATGATTTATGAGGAAAGGCTGAGAGAACTAGGGTTCTGGAGAAGAGAAGGCTGAGGTGGGACTTGATAAGTTTTCAAATACCTGAAAGGTGATGATAGTGTTCATGGAGATAGACTGTTTTCTATACAGCTGTAGAGGATGGGACTAGAAGCAATGGACTCAGGCTGCAGCAGAGGAAATTTAGTTTGGAGATGAGGAGGAACTATCTGACTATGAGGGTAGTCAAACATAATAACAAGGTACCTTGTTGTCACGGCGGGGTCCTGCAGGAGGGCCGTGATCTCCTCAAGGCCCTTTTCCCATGCCAAGTTGGCCCAAGGGCACCCTCAATTGTCACCCGCCACGTCTTTGATGAAGATTAAATGTATAGGAGGCTGCCTTACGTCCTCTTGGACACGGGTTGCTGTAGTCTCTGCCCCGTGGACTCCTGGATGCCTGGTGGGTTCTGCTCTGCAATGGGTGCTTCAGGGACACCCTAGCCTTATGGGCTGTGTGGCTCCAACCCCCCCTTTACCACGCCCCAAGCCTTGCAGCTGGAATAGACGTTGTTTGGTCTGGGTCTACACCCTCTCTCTGGCACTCAGGTTCTCTGCGGCCTTGCCTCTCTCCATGCCCTCTCTCTGGCACTTGGGCTCTCCACAGCCCTGCATCTCTCCACGCCCTCTCTCTGGCACTTCTCCACAATGCTGCCCCCTCTCCTGGGGCTTCTCAAGTGCGGCCCCCTTCTCCTGGGGCTCTTCACTGCCCCTTTTCTCTAGGACCTCCTCACAATAATGCCGCCCTTCTCTCTGGGGCCTTCTCCAGTAATGCCGCCCTTCTCTTCGGGGCCTTCTCCAGTAACTCCGGGGCTTCTCAGCAACTGCCCCCTCTCTGGGGCTGGGGTCTGTGCACCCTGAATGCTGTGCTCTCACTGGCGCTGGGGTCCCCACACTAGTGTGAGTCCCCTATGAGGCCTCCTCCAACCCCTAATAGCCTCACCCAAACCACCGGTGACA